CGACGGATGCGACAGTACCGGCTTTCGAAACCCAAGTCAGGTACCAGTTTTTGTGATCAAATACGTACTTAATACTGCGATCTAGGACTACCATCACCTTATAAAAATCAAACCCGCAATTTTTTTTATTGCGTAGATGGGCGGGCGAACTCACAGCCCACCTGATTTTAAATGGTTACCGGAGAACATAGAGATCTAGAATGTAAATGCTGCCACCCACCTTGAGATATGAGTTCTAAGGTCTCAGTATACTTACAACGGCTGCCCCACCCTTCAAACCGAAACGCATTACTGCTTCACGACATTCAATAGTAAAATTAGTTTTATAAGAATATCGGGAATTATTTGACTGTAGGATCATCAACGTCCAATACGTGGCGCCAGTTAAGGATGATGCTATTAAGACTATTCGCTATGTAAGCACGTCTGCCTTCTCCAAAACTAGCGGTTAAGTCAATTATAAACTTCGCATCAATTAACAATAGGCGCTTTGCATAACGTACCTACAACATATAAGAACATTATTGTCTTAATATTCAACACTGTGACATTAAAAATCCTCTCACGTCTCGATTACTTAGCTCACGCAAATGATTTTGACAATCGGTTCAAAACATTTCGTGACTTTTTAGATCGATATTTTTTTTATTGTTTAGATGGGTGGACGAGCTCACAGCCCACCTGGTGCTAAGTGGTTACCGGAGCCCATAGACATCTACAACGTAAATGCGCCACCCACCTTGAGATATAAGTTCTAAGGTCTCAGTATAGTTGCAACGGCTGCCCCACCCTTCAAGTCGAAACGCATTACTGGTTCACGGCAGAAATAGGCGGGGTGGAGGTACCTACCCGTGCGGACTCACATGAGGTCCTACCACCAGTAATTACGCAAATTATAATTTTGCGGGCTTAAAGGTTCTTAATTCAAACGTATTTAGAGACTCGGAAGTGTCAGTGGTATTCTAGAAACACGTTCTGTGTACGTGCCAATTTTTTGTAAATACGTCTTTGTAATGAAGACACGTACTAACGGATGATTTGCGCGATAAAATAAATAAATGATATCGTGTACTTAATTAGAATCTGTTAAATATGACTATTTTGTAATAATCTCTATATATAAAAATGAATTGCTGTTCGTTAGTCTCGCTAAAACTTGAGAACGGCTGGACCGTTTTGGCTAATATTGGTCTTGAATTATTCGTGAAAGTCCAGGGAAGGTTTAAAAGGTAGATAAATATGAAAATGCTCCGATTTAAATAAAATAAAACCATTTTGTTTTTCCTTTGATGTGTCCCCTTGATGTGTCTTTTATTTATCGATTGAGGCACTACGAAGTCTGCCGGGTCAGCTAGTATGACAATATAAAACAATTCAAAAACACTTAATTGCACTTTTCGTAGTCGCGGGAATCCGCTAGATATAGGCTGTATGATGGATTGTATTGCTATTACTCCTTAATGGGTGTGCGAAACTTCAAGTTAATCGGACGCCTTGAAGTCTTTGAAAATGACGCTTTTTTTTTATAGCTTAGATGGGTGGACGAGCTCACAGCCCACCTAGTGTTAAGTGGTTACTGGAGCCCATAGACGTCCGCAACGTAAATGCGCCACCCCTGAGATATAAGATCTAAGGTCTCAAGTAGTTACAACGGCTGCCCCACCCTTCAAACTGAAACCCATTACTGCTTCACGGTAGAAATAGGCAGGGCGGTGGTACCCACCTGCGCGGACTCACGAGAGGTCCTACCACCAGTAAGAAACAGATTCCGTTGACGTAAACAGATTCCGATACATTCATATACCAAGCTAATAAATGCCTGCTAAAAAGATAATATATTTTTAGATAGCGGGTCATTAACTACAATTCACCCTTATTTAGACGCGAAGCAGTGTTTCTATTTTAAATAAAGACTAATATTATAAGGTGGATTCAAAGTCTTAATTACAATCTAACGATGCGGCAGCCACTAGCAAAATCTGAACAGAACCGTATAAAGACTTTCAGCTTAGAGTAGATGGCATTTAGAAGCACAAATTTGAATTTATATTTTGAAAAAAATATAATTTAATACGACCATTATTAGAATATGAATTCTTCAAATATTTACATTAAGAAGCTTAGCTTAAAGGGAGAATACAGTTTAACTCAAGAGCCAAAGCAAAAGGATTAAAAATACCACACTAAAACAAAATCCCTAAATGAAAATTCTATCCTAAAATTTCTGGTGTTAAGAATTATCCTGCTTAAGCCCTCGATGATTTGAGTAGAAAGTGAGTAAGTATATAAAACGGCGAACTATCATCAGTGCTTCAGACTTTCACTGCATCTCGCGTCACAGCTCTGACCGTTCTATGGGAAATGTAATATCACCATGCCGAGTAACGGTTTCGATTGGTCATTTGATTGCGTAATTAAAAACTGGTGGTAGGACCTCTTGTGAGTCCGCACGGGTAGGTACCACCACCCTGTCTATTTCTGCCGTGAAGCAGTAAAGCTTTTCAAGTTAATCAAATGTCTTTAAGTCGACGAAAATGACGTTCAGATATTACGATAGGTATACAAACATACATAGCCTACTAAAATAAGAAGAAGCTCATGACTCATTTACGTAAAGTGATGATTTGGACCATTGACTTCACGGCATGCCGTTTTGAGACCCACATTGAGACAAGGTCGAGTCTCAGCTGTCTTATTTACAGTTAACCGCCCTTCAAACGTAAATGTATAATCACAAATGTATTTTTTTATTGCTTAGATGGGTAGACGAGCTCACAGCACATCTGGTGTTAAGTGTAGGTTTGTAGGCAGCGGCTTGGCTCTGCCCCTGGCATTGCTAAAGTCCATGGGCGACGGTAACCACTCACCATCAGGTGGTCCGTATTCCCGTCCGCCTACAAAAGGCAATAAAAAATAAAAATAAATGGCTACCGGAGCTCATCCACCATTAGATATAAGTTCTAAGGTCTCAGTATTACAGTTACAACGGCTGCCCTACCCTTCAAATCGAAACGCGTTACTGCTTCACGGCAGAAATAGGCAGGGTGGTGGTATTTACCCGCGTGGACTCACAAGAGGTCCTACCACCAGTAAAATGGCCACCAATGAAAGGCAATGTGTCTTCATGAATTCTTTTGAAGCAATTCAAAGCAGTCCTTTAGAAAAGACAACGAGTCCGACATAGAGATATATGTATTATGAAATTTGAACAAAAACGAAAAAACCTAAGATTGTGATTCGCTTACTACCATTCTCTCAAAAAAACAAAATAAAGTCTTATGAAAAATGTAATTTACACTCGCCATTACGTAATGCGTTCCTTTCATTCATTCGGACACTATTACAAACGTTTTTGTTGTTAAAATAAACTGAGAGTTTCATAGCGTGTGCGTTGGTTCTGTATACATTTAAAAATAATTGGCCTTAATTAATTTTATTGACTTAAATTCTTAAGAGAATCTGATCATTCACTTTTTCTGAAATGAATACCACTGCGAGTGTAAAGCTTATTTTACGCATCGGCTTACAATTGACCCAGTTTTAAAGCTATAAGCATGACACAAATTTGAGATAACCGTACGCTCGACAATGAGTTCGACGTGCAACCTAACCCATGTATCAGCCCGCTGAGTTTCTCGTCTGATCTTCTCAGCGGGTCGTGATTCCGATCTGGTAGTAGGTTCATTCCCGAAGCAACTGCTCTTGAGTTGTTAGGTCTCCTTCGGTGCTCGGGCAGCTGTTAGCAAATCTCACCCCTCCTGGCTGGGCCTTTGTTCGCCCACCTGTCCTGGTAAAACTGGAAAAGCCATCAGGCCACCTGTAATCTTTAAATAAAAAAATTTAAATCTGAAGTCTGTCAAAATATATAAATAAATAAAAAGGAACTCTAAAACTAAATACATTCTACAAAAATAGAGCGCGTTGATGTCTTTTATTCGCGATTTTTTTAATTTTCAACTTTACATGATTACTTCATGTATTACATACAATACAGAAGACTTTCATTGAGGAAAATTATGTGCAAAACATTTTTTTCAAATCCTTGAGCGAATTCGAAATTGAAGTTACAATACAATATTTATTGTTGCAAACAATATCAAAGCGCTAATGTTTGAAGCAGCTTTTACAGTTTTATTTAACAAAGATGGAGATGTTTATGAAGCTATTTTTTCTCAAATTTCATTCCATTCCATTCACATGAACTGAAAGAAAATAAATGAAAATTTACTTGAACCAAAAAAATATCGAAACATATATTCTAGAATAGACGGACTTTGATAAATTAAAGCAATTAAATAATAAAAATTTAAACTAGCACATTGACCACAAATGACGTCACAGATAATGTAGTAATTTCGATAAACAAATGCTGTCTAATTCCGTGTCTCAGCTTTCAGTTTAGAAAAATCATATCTCTCATTCCAAATTCAAATTGGGATCTAGTAAAAACCTAATGTAGGATTGATAAGAACGGAACGTATGAAAGAGTGTGGAATGGAGCGTTAAGATGTGAGTGAGAGAAAACGGAAAGTAGGCGAAAAGAGAATGATAGAGAATACGAAAATGGCGAAGACGGTTAAGACGTAATAAAAGTGTAAATATTTTTTTAATTACTACTAGCTGACCCAGTAGACTTCGTTGTGCCTCAATCGATAAATAAAAGACCTAAACTTTTGTGTAAAATAAACTTAAAACAAACAAAAGGAATCCGTCCGAGGAGGGACACATCAAAGGGAAAACAAAATTGTTATTTTTATTTGATTCGGAGCGTTTTCATATTTATCTACCTTTTAAACCTTCTCTGGACTTCTACGAATAATTCAAGACCAAAATTAGCCAAAACGGTCCAGCCGTTCTCGAGTTTTAGCGAGACTAACGAACAGCAATTCATATATATATAGAAGATTATAACAGAATATTTTGGGACAGTGGAAGCTTTATTTTATGCGCCGCCATCCTAACAATCCCGCTCTAATATATGAATGTTCTTTTGTTTCCAGATCCCCGGGTGCAAGGATGGTTCCTCTTCGACACTCCACTCCCGACCCTGGCCATGGTGGTTATCTATCTCGCGTTCGTGATGGTGATCGGCCCCCTCTGGATGTCAAACAGGAAGCCCTTTCAAATACAGAACACTTTGGTTGCGTACAACGCGAGCCAAGTTCTACTCTCCCTCTACATGTTTTATGAGGTGATTTTTTTTTATAAGAGATTTTACAACCTGGTAACTAGGACCTTTAGGTAGTGTCTTATTTTAATTTATTTTTATGAAAAATGTTAATATGGAGTGAATTTAAACGAAATGAAATGAACTGGGATGAAATTAAATGAAATGAGATGAGATGATATGATATGGAATGAAATTTAATCTCAGTAAAATGGTGGAGCCCTACACGGGACATCTACCACGTAAATGCGCCACACACCTTGAGATATAAGTTCTAAGGTCTCAGTATAGTTACAACGGCTGCCCCACCCTTCAAACCGTAACGCATTACTGCTTCACGGCAGATTAAGCGGGGTGGTGGTACCTACCCGTGCGGACTCACAAGAGGTCCTACCACCAGTAAGAAATAAGAATTTTATTGTTGTCTTGAAATTATTTCTGACGTTTCAAATACTACACAGTTTGCGTGCTCATGGACGAATCTTACTTTAATTAGCAGTACGTAATGGGATAATATTAGGGATGTAGCTTCTACATAATTTTAAAAGTGGAACGCGCGACTCTTGTTCTGCAAGTATAGGCAAAGTGCTGATTTAATTCTGTTAATCTATGTAACACGACATTCCTGTAGCTAGAGAGACAATTTAGAATGTTTTTCTTTCTACGGGTGTCTCAGTTAATCTAGCGGTTGTCAACCCTCGAGATATTTCTACCACGGGCGTTTGTCAAAGATTTTTCGTAATATCGGTCTCGTTGTGCTTGTAATGATTCCATAAGGCGGTTTTCTTGGGAAGGTAATCGCGGTGGGTTCCCATGTCCTTCCGCGTCAGACTTTTAGAGGGTATTTAGATCCTCACGGTAACTGATTACCGCCCCGGAACGCTAGGGCCGCTCAGGGATGTAGTTACCGCCGCCCGATATTCGTCGTTGACTGTTTTGCGGCATGAGTAGGTTTTGTCCACACAAACCCTTTCTTCTCATTCGGGCATGGGACCGACAACGGCGGAGTCAGAATTTCGTGTGGTTTTTTTTCTGTTACCTTTATATAAGAACCGACTTTGAGAGCCGGCGACTGTTGACCACATATAGTACACACATCAGTAAATATAGATAGTATACACATCAGTAAAATGCTAGTGAAAATAACAAACGAACGACAAACACACACACACACACAATGCGACACGTTTTGCAACGCCGCTTAAGATGTCAAGGCGCTAATCATTTCGCGTGTTACGCACCGGTGACGCGCAAAAAGCCGAAAAGTTTCTCGCATGGGACTTTGGTTGCTGAGATCTAGGTATTAAAAGTCTTTACTGTATATACAGAGTACCTCTTTGGTCAACTACATAGGATCAATTAGGGGCTTGTCTGGATTGTATGTTGATTTTTTTTTTATTGCTTAGATGGGTGGACGAGCTCACAGCCCACCTGGTTGGAGCCCATAGACATCTACAACGAAAATGCGCCACCTACCTTGAGATAGAAGTTCTAAGGCCTCAAGTATAGTTACAGCGGCTACCCCACCCTTCAAACCGAAACGCATTACTGCTTCACGGCAGAAATAGGCTGGGTGGTGGTACCTACCCGCGCTAACTCACAAGAGGTCCCAGTACTGAATATGAAACTGCAAAAGGCACCGGCGTCTGTGTGAAATGATAGACCATAGTTTGGAAATAAATCTCAGACTCTCGACTCTTGCTTTGAACCTTACCTTTCCTAAGTTGACATGTTCAATGACATGATCTTCGAATGAGGTTTTAAAAAGTTGTTGTAAAAGGTTTTAAATTTTAAAAAGTAATGTTGATATCCGTTAACAATGCTGACCACTCACCGTCAGATGACATGAATGCTTGTTTGAAGACAACCAACCATTTTAGATACACTTAGCTTAGATTATTTTTAAATATATAAAAAAGCTCAAGGATGTGGCTTTAAAAAAAATCTAATACTAGCCGCTAAGTTAGCTCCTTCTGCCTGCCGTACCTTATTTATGTGAACCTTCTTTGAGAATAAAGACAAAAATACTTCCTAAGACGATGTCGTGAGATAGTCATAGACATTTGGCACCCGTTATCAAAAGAACAAGTTCGTAGCTCTTCGCAAGCATCGCTTCTATTATCAAACTATTAGTAACATTATTTAAGGATTTGTTTTCCTAAACTCGACTTAGAGATGTTTAAGTTTAATGTTTACTGGTGGTAGGACCTCCTGTGAGTCCGCACGGGTAGGTACTACACTGCCTATTTCTGCCGTAAAGCAGTAATGCGTTTCGGTTTGAAAGGTGAGGCAGCCGTTGTAACTTTACTGAGACCTTAGAACTTATATCTCAAGGTGGGTGGCGCATTTACGTTGTAGATGTCTATGGGCTCCAGTAACCAGTTAACACCAGGTGAGCTGTGAGCTCTTGCATCCATCTGAGCAAAAAAAAAATTTATAAAATTTGTTCAATTGAAAATCAACCTTAACGTCTTCGATTTTGGGAATTTTTTCGTTCGCATGTATCGACGAATAGTACAGAACCCGACGATAAATATTGCACATCGACCGTGGGAAAGAGACGGCTAATTTCTTTCTTCGTAGAGCGTTATATCTGTCGCACATTACTTAAATTGACATTTAGTCTCCATAGATACCGGATCGTTAGTCGCACACAGGTCGTTACCCTACAACAAAAAACAAAATTAGACGACTGTCTCTTTCTAAACATCGATGTGCAATATTTATTGTCCGGTACTGTACATTCCTACCTCCTCCGCACAGAATAAATGCTCAACTTTCAGTAATTACAGCAATAACTGGGTTTCAGTAATACGGCCAAGGCTGGATTGCGTGTGGCATTACACTGATTTTGTTAACGATTACAACGTTACGCATTAACGATCGATATAATTGTTATCAATCGAAAACGATGTGAACTACTTATCGAAACACATAAATGATTTATTTAGTGCTGATACTGTGATCCTATGCTAATTGCTAGCAGTTCTGAGACGTCGACTGGTCTTCGAGTGGGTGGCGGCAGTCACGTAATGATCTCCATGGGCCCATGAGCTCCATTAACTAATTAATATCAGGGCTACGAGCTCGCTCATAGGTCCATAGACATCAGTGCCAGTATAGACCACAGAAATCCGAATCGCTTAGTACATAACCTGAAAAGGAAATGTTAACAATAATAATCGTTGATAATAATTAAAATATTATTGACAATAATAATACCGTACCGTACCGTACCAGGATCTATTTATAATAATGAAAATAGAAACGACTACAACAAAATAAAATGAGAATATCATCAATGTATTAGAAATCATTTATTGCATTATAAAGTTCACTGAAAAAACTACTGATCGGAATTTGATAAAATTGAGAAATTAATTAAATTGAACATGAGAAGCATCGGCTTTCAAATAAATAAATGACCATCAAAATCGGACTACCGTGAACAAATCTCAGGTTACACAAACACCCACATAAACAAAAAAACAGTCGAATTGAGAGCTCTTCCTTTTTTTGACATCGTTTATAAACACAATTTATTCACAGGTAATGGGTATTTTGAAATGAAATCTTTTCGAGCAGGTCCTAGAGAGAGGACGAAGTATAAATTTCACGTAAACAAAAGACGTAACATTACAAAAATATTTTATTAAGCAATTGCATAGCTTTTATCGCGGGCTTTGAGCGCGGCGACCGAATCAAGAAATTCCGTAACGAAAATAAAACCTAACAACCGTTATTCATTTCTGAACTGTCTTTATTTTCAGCACTTGATGTCAGGATGGTGGGGAGACTATAGCCTCTCTTGTCAACCTGTGGACTACACCGAGAGCGAACAGGCGAGAAGGGTAAGATTTCATATCATATTAATAAAATATTTACTAGAAAACACATTCACATACATACTCATAACTATAGTAAAAACAGTTTGATAAAGCAGCGTTTTAGTGGCAAGCCGAAATGTAGAAACTAGAAATTAAAATAATAATAATAATAAAATCTGTTTCGGCGTTCAGGAGAATATTAGAAAAAATTGTTTTAGTATAATAATAAAATCTGCTCTTTGATACTTGAGAACTTTCTCGTGTTAATCGGACGTCTTAAAGTTGGTTTAATTACTAGATGTGAATTGAAAAATTCTGTTTTATAAGTCTAATTCTATTTTAAAGTCTAATTCTAATTGTTTTATGAAGCTAATTGAATAATTCTATTTACAAGTCAAGCTTATAAAATCGTGCTAATAAAATCTGCTATGGATGATAAAGAGAATTGAGCCTTTACATATTCACTTAGGCTTTCCTGTAAACTATAAATAAGGTTCTTCATTACTTATAGTTTCAGATTTAAGCTTAAAGAATTTACGGCTGTGTAATTTACTGCAATGTTTTAAACACAAAACCTATTTTGTACTGTAATCCAAATTTATAGTTTAGTTCGTATTTACGCTACATTACGCCTTTTTCATTGTTAGCTTCAACGTAATTAGACGCAAAAACAGCAGTGTACATCTGACAAGAATTCCAACTTTTACATAACTTACACAGAACGTGGCTGAGAGAATTATTTTAAATATTTTTTTTCTGATAAGCAGACGTGTTAACAGTCGACTTTATGTTAAGTGTTCGTAGATAGAACACATATTAATAATTTGATTTATTCTATAAAAATGAGGCTTCTCATAAAACTATTGAATTATTCAATTATAACTAGTTAGAATACAATAAACTCATTCGTGTCTTATACTCGTATGTCTCAACTTTTTTTTTATTGCTTCGATGTGTGGACGAGCTCACAGCCCACCTGGTGTTAGTGGAGCCCATAGACATCTACGACGTAAATGCGCCAACCACCTTGAGATATAAGTTCTAAGGTCTCAGTATAGTTATGACGGCTGCCCCGCCCTTCAAACCGAAACGCATTACTGCTTCACGGCAGAAATAGCCAGTTTGGTGGTATCTACCCGTGCGGACTCACAAGAGGTCCTACCACCAGTAACAGTCGACTTTATGTTAAGTGTTCGTAGATAGAAAACATATTAATAATTTAATTTTTTCTATAAAAACAAAACTTCACATAAACCAATTATTGACTTATTCAGTTATAACTAGTTAGCGTACAATAAACTCATTCGTGTCTTATACTTGTATGTCTCAACTATAAACTTTGCACTGATTACGCGTTCTGGAGACAGAAAATACATGTAATATCCGCTTTGAATTGTGACGAACTACATTCTCGAGTCTATTAACTTGTAAAAGCACGGGAAAGTGAGAATTAGCGGTCGCTTGAACCACCGTCATCAAACGTACAAAGAGTATGCATGAAAATAGAAAAGCCAAGTTTTTCTGAGAGTATTGATCGCGTACCTTTAAGTGCGCTATCAAATTTTGAGACACCCTCTTTCATATCATTAACAATGTTACTAACAGCTGACAATGAGCTCTCGCCAATTGGTCACTGGTCATTACTTCTGCGAAGTAATTGCTGAAACGTCAGGGAATCAATATCGAGTGACTTAGTTACCGCTTCAAAAAAGTGTAAATTCTTCTAAATTCATTACGTATCTGACACATATTCACAAACGACTTGCACGATAGAAGAATAACCCGTTGTTGCCAAAATGAAATCTGCAGAAACTAATTTGCGCAATTACAGTTGTAGAAACAATTTGTTTTCATCGCGAAAAAATCGAGTCTTTTCTATGAAACACAATCGTTAGGTCGAGTTAGACTCCAACTAATGATCTAAGTCGTGAGGCGACTTTCGAATAATCCATACGCTTAGTTAGCCAGTTAACATGTTGACTGGCTTACTGTACCGGTCTCAGAACAGCGAACAATTTATTATTGTCACAAAAAATCCCAGGCATCAAAGTCTGCGACAATAGTTTGCCCAGCTCATAAAGATTGTATGTATGTATGTACGTATTTCTGATTATGTATATGTATATACTCTTTTTTTGTGTATGTATTTGTAACTTCATATAAATTTCATTGCACCTACTACTATTCACTCTGCACTACCTTTGGTTGACTGGTAGAGAATGCCTGAGGCATTAAGTCCGCCAATGTAAATTTTACATAATAAATAAATAAAAATCAAAATGTCAAGTCGTAATGGAGTAATATCAAACAAAATCTTACCATCGTATAAAATTCAATGCAAAAATACTTTAATTCAAATTCCATTAAGTATCAAAGCTCGCTCGTGCGTTTCGACTTAAAGCTCGAGTGAATCGTTATACAATTGAAACTGCGACGTCATAAAAGCATTCGCGTTGAGATTCCATGGGCTACTCTAGAAATCACTTAAAAAGCCTACTGAAAATAGGCACGTCTGTCAAAATCATCTTTGCAATAAATTACTCGTAAAAGTTAATTGCTTTTTCGCTCATTATCACGTTCTAGTGTAAATAAAGCACTTACATACGTGTAAGTTGGCAGCGAATTTCATTAAGAGATCACTAAAGTTTTTCTTTTTCCTAATATGTAATTAGTTTGCAAATTAAAAAAGCGTATCGAAAAAACCGGTTGTTTGAATACTTTCAAAAGTTTAAAATTAACAAAATAATAAAATAATTACGCATATACGTGATATTAGAAATAAAATAAAAATAAAAATAATTACGTATTTATTTATTTTTTGCTTAGACGTGTGGACGAGCTCACAGCCCACCTGGTTTTAAGTGGTTACTTGAGCCCATAGACATCTACAACGTAAATGCGCCACACACCTTGAGATATAAGTTCTAAGGTCTCAGTATAGTCACAACGGCTGCCCCACCCTTCAAACCGAAACGCATTACTGCTTCACGGCAGAAATAGGCAGGGTGGTGGTACCTACCCGTGCGGACTCACAAGAGGTCCTACCACCCGTAAAAAGATGCAAATATCATAATGATGCATGCGCTCCATTTTTAAGGCCCTTGTGACTACAAATTTAACTATTCCTATGTATGCAACAGAAGCTGATCAATTGAGCGGCATTGATTGATTTTGTTCTAAATTATGTTTTAATCACTTATAAAATGATATCTAATTGTATTCTTGTCTCCCGCGGATCGAGAATTGATTATTACCACTACATTTTATTCTCACTGTATTTTATGTTAATAATTTAAATAAAAGAAATATTTTGTAAATGCGAAATCCATACGAATTGCGACTATCGTAAATTCTTAGATGAAAATCAACTGTATCTGGTACGTATTCATATAAAACAAACTCCCTGAAGTCTAAATGACACTAATAATATTGTCCCAGCTGGCATTCCATGATAACGGGCTATTTACGCCGCTGAGAATTAATAGGCTTGGTGGAAAATAAGCTTCACAAAATGGATTCATAGCGACCAACCACATCTTTCAGCTTACGCAGACGCAGTCAAAAGTCAGAGAATCCATGTGAAATCTGCTCTTTCTCTCTGAAATTTTAAATTACCACATCCCTTCAGCCAGAGCCACAGTGACTTGAAATCGTATACAAAAAAGTGAATAATAAAATTGAACGTTAAAGACATTCGCGGTAGCTCTTAGATACGACCTAGATTGCTTTAAGAATTGGTCGTTACGTTTCTTACGCAACACAAACCGGAACATTTCAATAAACAACAATCATCGGGTAGGTATTCGAAAAATTTCAATTTAGATTTTAGCGGGGATTTTTGGCGGGAACGCGAGGAGTGAAGTTGTGTGATTTGTTTGATTTTGTCTATTTAGTGTTTCTTCAGGTTTAAATGTGTAATAACGGTGGATTATTAACTGTTTAATATCTGTGAAGGTGCACAAATGTGGGAAAATGAAACAAACTGGACATAACTTCTCGGGATCCTCCAAAAAGTCCACTGAAAAAATCTCAGTAAATGACCACCATTTTACTGAGATTGTATTTCATCTCATATCATCTCATCTCATTTAATTTCATCCCAGTTAATTAATGTCTCAAATTAATCATTTTTATTTCATTTCATTTCACTCCATGTTTTATTTTTTCATAAAATTAAGAATATAAATTAAAATAAGACATGACTTAAAGGTCTTAGTTACCAGGTCATAAAATACCTTAAAAAGATTTTAGAACTTTAGTGAGTGCACTTTGTTGTATATTTGCTTGTGATTTTGTTGAAGTTCATGTGCGATGATTACCACTTTTTGTCGGTCGGGCTATATACAGGCCGATCAGTCTTTGCCAGCATTAAGAAAATAAAAGCAACTAGCTGCCTAACAATCAGATGAGAATGTTTTCCAACCAGTGTAGAAGCCGACTTATTCTTAAAATAGTTATCTGGTATTAATTAATTACTCAAATTTATTTTAAATTAATGAGTTTATTTATGTTTTTGAATATACTTATTTTAATTTAATGCCCCTTATTTTTCACGGTCCGTAAAATTGATTAATTAAAAAAAAAAGAGTTTTTACATATAACCCACATTTTACTTCATAACCAGAGTTTATTTAGATCTTCAATGATTTTTGACCATATCTCGTTTCACTTCATTTTAGAGGATGCTGCAATTCATAGACGCTCCATTGTGAATAACATCAGATTCCTCCAGATATCTTCTTCTTTTTCTCCACCTTATCCCACTAGGTGGGGTCGGCACAGCTAATTTTTCTCTTCCATTCTCTTCTATCAGCCGTCATCTCAACACTCACTCCTCTCTCTCTCATATCGTCATTCACACACTCCATCCATGTCTTCTTCGGTCGACCTCCAGATATATCAGCCCAGATTCTCAACGACATGAAACACGAAACGCGATCACTTTTTTATTGCATTTTCTCTCCGAAAACCCATATTGAATCAATGAAATCTTAAACAGCTAACTGGATTTACTTTCACTTGAATTAACAGTGCCCTACCAAGACTCTGAGGCTTCCAATACTGGCTACGCGTAGTGCACTTGACCGCAGACTTGGAACGGTTTCCATTGTAATCAAACGACACGTTAGTTTTCTTTCAGTTTTTCTAGTATTCATTTTTAGCTGAACTCTTCGATGAAGAGTGGATGCTCAATCTAATAGACATCAACGTGGATGTCGCTATCCACCATGATACATCAGATTGATGTGTGACTCTATTACATAACGGCAGACCTAGCCTTTAAACCGGAGACATGAAGGCTTTGTAGCAGAAATAACTAGTATGATAATACCTACCCCTCCGAGCTCTTAATTAATTAAGCTCTTAATTAAGCTCACTACTATCAATAATAACGCAAATTTATACAATCTAATCAATTCTAAACTAAAAAATTTGTAATATACATCATTATATGCAATTATATAATATATATATCAATATCATATATATCATTATATCATGTTCTCAGTCTCTTCTGCGAGTGGAGCCTGCAGAAGGAGGCGGCGGGGCGAGTGAGGGAAAGCTCTCCTCACTACGCAGAAACCCGCCGCCGCCGAGCAGGGGGTCGGGACCGGGGTCGTATCCGTGACCTGGCCCCCTAAGAGCTAGGGGTCCCACCCGTTTTGTGTGGGGAGAGACCCAGACGCGGGGTGGCGTGCTTTGCACGCTCACCCGCAATAGGAAGCCGGGTGATGGTAGACCGCGTTCCCCCGACCGCTCTGGGGGAAGGTGTAACGCGGCGCCATCAAAGCGAGCTCTCGGCCCGCTGAACGAGGGAACCGGTGGTCGTGTCGCTGGCGGCCACCGGTCCGGCGTCCGTGGGACGGTGGGATGGATGTAATGTGCTCTGCGTCAACCCTGTCCCGCCGTTTCAATAGCCCCGACTGGGCTCCGGCCCGGTCCGAGGTAGGGCGCCGGTTGTGAGCGGCAGGAGTTTTTAGTGAGGTTCAACTCCCACATACCCCACCTGTCGCGCGGGTGGGGATCCGGCGATTTTCTCCTGTGGAAAAAAAAAAAATGGTCTCAGTCTGTATACACGTACCTAGCCTTCATTCACGCAAAGAACCAAAGGGAAACGGGGGTGACTGAAAATTAGCGCTGTTGGATTTATATCGACCTTAAACAGCATTAGCTGAGCCACCTCCTTTTGTCTTTTTCTCTTTTTTTTCTTTTCTTTTCTTTGTATTTTATTTTATTTAATGTGAAAGGCAATAAATGATTTTTATTATTTTTATTATTAAAATAGGACCACAATCAAAACGCACATATGGAAACGCGAACGCGCAATGAACTTGTCTCTCACAAGTCACTGTTTTGCGTAAGAGTGAAAGTACATATGTATGTACTCTTCCCTAGCCTTGCTGATCGGACGATTGCTTACGTCACGGCTGCGGTCGAAAGCAAGCCTCTTTGAAGATAATGACATTGCTTGCCTATTTTTTTTTTCTTCATAAAATTCGGTAACCACTGATGTAATTGCTGTAAGGTTGCGCAACACTGAATGGTCATTTTAGTTCAGTTAGAAATGATCAAACTGTGAAATGGTTCACAGCCTTGCTTGTGTAAATAAAATTAAAAACAAACGTTTTTGATAAACATCCACGTGACGATTTTGTTGTTAAAACTTCAATTCTATTCGTTGATGAGACAAGGTTGGTTTTACTTTCACACTTTCGAACCGAACATTTGAAATGATTATTTAATTAAATTTTATCTTATATTAAAGACGTCGTCTTGGTCTAAATGATAAGGCGTATAGTGTATCATATCAAGCGATGCGACTCTGCCGGTGCTCGAATTCCGAAAGCGGATACTAATTTTAATACCCGAATGACTTCAATTATGAAGCAAAAAATAAAATAAACGACCACAAATAAAATAAATAAGAAATGCTTTATAACCATTACTAGTGGTAGGACTTGTTGTTGGACAATTACAATCATCTTGCTTTTTCCTGCTGAGACACAATTATGCAATTCAATTTCTTTGATAGCCTTGTACAATACTAACCAATTAATAATTAGATCTCTTGTCTCAAGGTGGTGATTTTCTGGAGTGATCTCTACGATGAATCCGTTCACGCATCGAAAAATCTTTTTTATAATTATGTTGTTGATTTTGTTACAGATGCTTCATCTATGCTGGGTTTACTACTTCTCGAAACTATCAGAATTCGCTGACACGATATTCTTCGTGCTGAGGAAGAAGAAGAGTCAAATCACATGGTTGCATCTTTACCACCACTCGTTGACCCCTTTCGAGGCGTGGCTGCTGGTCAAGTTCATTGCTGGTAAGTTTCGTGATGTCACCGTTTTGCCATCGCAACATCCACAGCCATACTGAGCGTTCTTATAGAAAGTTTCGTAAGACAAATTTTGCCACGTGTCATCTCAGAGATGCAGCTCTGAATGATGTTCGTGAATCTATATATCCGTGATTGGTACGCACTATAAAATCTAGACATTTATAGGTACGTCTTAATGTTGACTAGGTTAGCTTTCAAAAACAATTTGTGTTTAAATAAAATTCGAAAAAAATTACACGCATCCATAGCGGAAATACCAGTGAAATAATGAATGCCATTGATAAGTTTGACACAGCGAGATTGGTGCTTGCCTCGGGGCGTTTAGCAAGAGCCAGTCATGTTGTTGGTTACCTTAAATGGAATTTTAACGATAGTTTATTTAAGATTATATACTTTCTGTTTCCTGATAAATACATTGAACTCAAAAGTCGGCACAAGGTTTGGTCAACTGACAATCTCAATATCTCACTTCCAAACGGTAATAAGACTGAAATTAAGTGTAATTTAATCAAATTTCAGAAACTATTCCAATATTTCATTTCGTTTTAAGACGTTTAATTAAATAAATGCATTTTTAAACACGTAAAAATAAAATATAAAAAACTAAAAGTAAATTAAAGCTGCTTAAAGCTTAAGAAATAAAATCATTTTTCCCACCTTTGCCGTGTCTTCTTAAAACCAATAATTAGTATATTATAATATTTTAATTAAAAGATCAATCTATATAGGCGAAAAAATGCTACGGTGATTCATTCAATTTCCTAAATCTACCTCTATATCTATTTAAAAGCTATAACTCACTCATTACCGAAAAATAACAAGATACATTTTTTACCATTTATCGTTTGGAACTATTTCGGCCATATCTTTTCAATCATAAACATTTGAAAACAGATGTATGTAAGACCATTAATCAGATTTAGCAGTCCTGATTGGGTCTCTGTGTGGTATTCAACCATATAATATTCAGTTTTCATGTGTACCTATATTATTTAAAGACTTCCACATTATTCTTAATGCGTACGGCAGTTTCTACGCTGCTCAATACTGAAAGTTGTCATTAGTAGCTATTCTTTCAGCTATACACACTATAAAATTCATATTTTCGAATTCTGCTAATGTCTAACCTTTCACATCGGGACCTTAATCCCAGACACGCTAGTCTCTCATTAGATCTGTCAGACATGTCATAATTTTAATAGCACCATTGTATCGTCAAATGTTTGGTCCCTCTCAAAATTTTATTTTATTGTTTGCTAAGTCAATAGAAATTGATATTATCTTTATTCATAGTACCATAAATGAGCAAACGAATTGATTGTCTATTCACCAGGCCCATCGACATCTTAAATCGCAAATATAAGCCACTATCCACCTTGAGAATTAAGATTTAAGTCTCAATTTCGTAACGACTGTGCTTCAAACTAAAAACTGCAGAAAATTCCAAAGCATAAAGAAGTTTGTGATGTATATATAGACTGTAGTTTAGTTAAGCCCGCTTGGATTGGTACTACTGTCTGATATTTTTCTGCGGCAAAACAGTGATGGGTTTCGATTTGAAAGCCTTGTTATGGTTATAGTCTTTATTACGATGCAATAGACTGTTTATTTCTGTGAGACCTTTGTTGTCTCTGCCGGTGGCATTCACGCTATGATTTCTGTGTGTCTGGTAACCGGTTGTGTCGTAAGCACGTTTGCTCGTCTGCGAAGTCAGTGGTCCATGAGCTACTACAACGAATCACCGCTTAGCCAATCGCAAAAGCTAAGAGAATAAACAGGTACCATATAGTACAATAATTCTAACTAGTGATGCCCTGGTAGTCGAAATTCGACTATAATTAATTGAAATATAAGTTTGTATACTGTTATGATTCTGTTGTTAAAGACTTTTATACTTATATAATCATAGATTTCGCCAAGACTTCACTATAGAAAAATATTAATAAAGACAAACAATATTTAATCTATTCTCAATTTGACCACAGACGTCAAGAACAAAAGTTTGACAATAAATAAATAGTATGCATGCGTGTGTGCGTCAAATACATGGTAGTGTGTGTAATGTTTTCTTTATTGATTTAATATATATTTTTAGGCATAATTAAAAAAAAATTAGCATTCTGCACTCCTTCTCTATATTCTCTATAAGTGTGGAAAATTTCAAACTCCTTCGTCCGCGCTATTTTCGTAAAAAGGGATACAAAGTTTTTCCTTCACGTATTAATATATAGATAATAGGTCACTTCATTCCCATGGAAAAAATTACGAAGGATTTCCTTTCACTAAATTTATGTATGTATACAATAATAACTGTATAATATTGTTATGTACCTAATTAATTAGCTGTTTTGCTCAAAACTGTCGAAAATCTTAATCGATTCGGGCAATAACTAAATACATAACAATTGCAACTAATTCATCCTTCGCAAACATGTTTCATCCAAAGATCACGATCGTACACAAAGAGAAACTTTCTTGTTGAAGATTTAGCTTTGACTATATCGTGAAATCTCCGCTTACCCGTTGATGACAAGTAAATATTACTTTCACGCGATTTCGTTGGGTTCGTATTTTCAGGAGTTTCAGCCAACGGTAGACATGAGCTACTGGTGTTGCTTAATCTGTTATTCATTTGGTAATGCGTACAGATTCAATTGTTTGTGACTACTAAAGCTAACCTATAATCGAAAGGTGATAAAATTTAAAATAAAATATTGCACTTTTGTAAAGAAAATCAACACATTATTAAAAATTATTAAATTGTTATTAAAAATTCCACACTGTCACAGCTTAGCCTCTAGCCTCTAGGCTATGCTGTGACGTCGTCCGTTTGTCGTCCATTTTTAATGATGACGTATATTACAACATTTTTAGTTTAGAATTTATTAGATTGTATAAATTTGCGTTATTATTGGTAGTGGGCTTAATTAAGAGCTCGGAGGGGTAGGTATCATCATATTAGTTACAGTGTGGTATTTTAACTACACCAAAATCCTGTTATATTTTTATCTAGACCGAACTAGATTAGAACTGACAAGGCAATATAAAGTCTTTAACAGTTATAAAAGACGGTCAACTTCTATTAGAGGTACACACAGAGCGTTTGGAACACCTTTTTTGTAATGCATAGATGGCTGGATGAGCTCACAGCCCACCTAATTCTAAGTGGTTACCGGAGCCCATAGATATCTACAACATAAATACCACCAGCCACCTTAAGATATGAGTTCTAAGGTCTCAGTATAGTTACACCAGCTGCCCCACCCTTCAAACCGAAACGCATTACTTCTTCACGGCAGAAATAGACAGGTTTGTGGAACCTAACCTAACCTTGCCTTTTATAGTATGTATTATGAAGATATGGTAATAATCGCGAAAGTAACAAAACAATTTAGACCAGGATGAAATCGTAGTCAATGACTTTAGTCAACACCAAAGAATATGATCTCACTGACTCTTCTTCTGTCTACACAGGTGGTCACGGCACATTCTCGAACATAGTGAATAATCTGGTGCACGTGATCATGTACAGCTACTACATGCTGGCCGCAATGGGACCTCAGTACCAGAAGTACCTCTGGTGGAAGAAGCATCTCACTACCCTGCAACTAGTGAGTATTACAAGTTGACCGCACATTTTTTTATGTTTGAAAGATTACTGGTGGCCCGGATGCGATTCTAGTTTTACCAGGGTAAATGGGCGAGCAAGGACTTAGCCAGGCGGGATGAGATTTGCTAAGAGTCACCCCAGCGCCTCCAAAAGAGACCTAACAACTTAAGAGTAGCAGCTTCGCGAATGAACTGCGCAATGTACAGCAGCATCATTCACGTCTCTTCTTCTACGTAGATTCGAAGGTGGTGGAACTGGATTCACGTAATAGCATCACTAAACATGACGTATACTAAGTAGACCGTGAATTTCGAAAATATTAAGCATATAAATTTTAAAATCTTATGAGTAATACATCGGGCGAGAGGTGCTGCAATCTACCCCCGAAATTTAAGTGCCGTAATATTCTTTTGCAAGATATTGAAATCAGACTATTTTTTTTTATACCTTAGTTGGGTGGACGAGCTCACAGCCCACCTGGTGTTAAGTGGTTACTGTAGCCCATAGACATCTACAACGTAAATTCGCCACCCACCTTGAGATATAAGTTCTAAGGTCTCAAGTAAAGTTACAACGGCTGCCCCACTCTTCAAACAGAAACGCATTACTGCTTCACGGCAGAAATAGACAGGGTGGTGGTACCTACCCGTGCGGACTCACAAGAGGTCCTACCACCAGTATCTACTGTCAGAATCGATTAAGGCTCGATTCTCAGTACCTTTTATGAAGATATTTAACATGTATGCATGTACGTAGGGACATATGTCTGTTTCGAGTTACACGAGAAACAAATCGTAATTTGGGACCGCTAAATTTAACCATATTAAAAATTTGATGATCAATTATCGGTGGAAACCTAAGAATGGAAGAATTTCAAAAAGGTGGGTGGCACATTTACGTTGTAAATGTCTATGGGCTCCAGTAGCCACTTAGCACCAGGTGGGCTGTGAGATCGTCCACCCATCTATGCTTTAAAAAAAATAAAAGAATGACGTAAATATTTCTAGCAGCGACTGTCACGATACATACTCCTGCATTGCAAACAAATCCATTATTTACATCAAGCAATTTTGTAATGTATTATTATTATTGTCGTACAATGCGTCTATGGCATTTGGAATCTCAACATAATATTACAAGCTGATTCGGCATCGTTGTAAATGTAACAACGCATTAGATGTAACAAGTTAGCATATAGCCTTGCTTGTAACTCCTTGAAAAGTACATGGTATTTTACAAGGATATTGAGACATACATAATTGTGCTTGTTTGGTAATGTAGTAAAGAACTGATGTTCGTTTTTTTTCTGTTGTTCTAAAACTCAAGAGAGTTTTTAATGAATAGTTCTGAATCAGAATTGAATTAAACAGTTGTTGTGGGCTTAATTTTTAATTAATTGAATACTGCTGTATATATTACTTGGCGCTATGACAGAATTATGAAGATGTGATTAAGGGCGTCATCGACTTTGAGTTCGTTTTAGAGATTCTTCATATACGCCTATTTCTTAGCGATTTTCTGTAAAAACCACCACCATATTACTGGTGGTAGCGCATCTTGGGAGTCCGCACGGGTAGGTACCACCACCTCGCCTATTTCCGTCGTGAAGCAGCAATGCGTTTCGGTTCGAAGGGTGGGGTAGCCGTTGTAACTATACTTGAGACCTTAGAACTTGTATCTCGAGATGGGTGGCGCATTTAGCTTGTAGATGTCTATGGGCTCCAGTAACCACTTGACACCAGGTGGGCTGTGAGCTCGTCCATCCATCTAAGCAATAAAAAAAAAATCGTGGTCCCTAGTGATGGGTCAGCACATAACGCAGATGGGTGATCTCGATCGAATGAGATTTAAGTAGTTGATATATGTAATTAAACAAAGAGTAGTAAGTCACGGTCTAATTATAATGAAACAATTTATGAGACTGCACAGAACGTTATCTTGCAACTGAACTTACGTAATCCGATCATTTCAACTAATTTAGATTCGCTTAATGAGAGACGCCTTTTGCTGCAAACATTCTCGACAATATAAGTCTACTTTAATAAATAAATAAAAACTACTCTTACGAATTAATAGCGCGATAGTTAATTAAATTTTGTATAATAATTACCGACGGCTCGTATACAGTTACAGTTACAGTTTTCGTGGTCACGGATGACCAGTCGTAAACGCGAGATTAAACCGTAAAAGTAGTTTTTAGTTGTGTCAGCGAATGCCTAAAGCCGTAGAAAAGTAAAAGCTCTCTACCTTTACAAAGCACGACCATTGTAGACTATTTTCTTATTTCATATATTTAGTTTGTTTTTTCTTTTTTTTTATTGCTTAAATGGGTGGACGAGCTCACAGCCCACCTGGTGTTAAGTGGTTAGATAGCCCATAGACATCTAAAACGTAAATGCGTCACCCACCTTGAGATATAAGTTCTAAGATCTCAAGTATAGTTACGACGGCTGTCCCACCCTTCAAACCGAAACGCATTACTACAGTTCATTTGTTTGTTCTATCGTCAGCATACTATTGCAGACTATTTTCTTATTCCATATATTTAGCGTTATTCCATACTTGTATTCGTTGGGGAGCTTTCGAGTTTATAAAAAATAAATAACTGGGAACAAATGACGCACGGTCATCCGGCTCCAAATTAGGATTCCCTGTGTTATGGGTACCAAACCCTGACATACTTATATACGTTTAAATATATACATATATAGATAATAAACATCCAGATAAAGAACAAACAAGCCTGTTCATCGCACAATGTTAGCCCGATATGGGAATCGTACCCACGATCCTCGGCGCAAAAGTCAGAGGCGCTATCTACTGCACCATCGAATCAGTCAACTTATGATGTGAGACTGATATGTCTGTTGATATATTGAGTCGTCCCTCCCTACAAAATGGAACGCAAGCTGCTTCTCAGACCGGAAAGAGCTGCGTCTGTTTGAGCCGCTTTCTCGTGAAGTTGTGTTTTTGCTGATGCATTACTACACGTTTTTTTTTATTGCTTAGATGGATGGACGAAATTACAGCCCACCTGCGATTAAGTGGTTACTGGAGCCCATAAACATCTACAACGTAAATGTACCACCCACCTTGAGGTATAAGTTCTAAGGTCTCCAGTATAGTTACAACGGCTGCCCCAACCTCCAAACCGAAACGCATTACTGCTTCACGGCAGAAACAGGCAGGGTGGTGGGGTGGTAACTACCCGCGCGGACTCACAAGAAGTCCTACCACCAGTAATTACGCAAATTATAATTTTGCAGGTTTGATTTTTATTACACGATGTTATTCCTTCGCCGTGGAAGTCAATCGTGAACATTTGTTGAGTACGTATTTCATTGGAAAAATTGGTACCTGCCTGAAATACGAACACCAGTGCATCGCTCAACACGAATGCACCGGACGTCTTATCCTTTAGGCCACGACGACACATACATTAAGTAACATTCAAACTTCTTAAAGGCTTCGCTATATATAAAATCTAAGTACATAATATCATTTATTTTATTATACGGTATGCAGCGGCTTGACTCTGCTCTTGGCATTACAAAGGTCTATGAACGACGGTAACCATTCACCATCAGGTGGGCCGTATGTTCGTCTTTCTACAAGAGTAACTTTGAAGAACCGATAAAAATATTTAATATTATTTCTAGTTCCGCAGTAAGTAACGTATGAAATACTAGCGACCCGCCCTCGCTTCGCTTCGGAAACATTAAAACACACATGAAACCAAAAAAATAAAAAAAAATAAAAAAATTAAAAAAAAAGTAGCCTATGTTCATCAGGGCCAATGTCGGCTTCTGATGGAAAAAGAATTTTTCAAATCGGTCCAGTAGTTTCGGAGCCTATTCGAAACAAACAAACAAACAAACAAATCTTTCCTCTTTATAATATTAAGTATAGATACAAACATTTCGCACCACTCCTAGAATTCCTATAGAAGCGAACGTTTGCGCAAATCATTAGGATATGCGCACCGTTGAGCAGTACCGTCGACGCGATAATTTTTATTTATTAAAAAAAAATTTTTTTAAACAATTTTTTATTTGAGTTTTGTGCATGCCGCGTAATGCCACCGCCCACCTTGAAACTTGAGGTCGAAATTTTAATTGCGCTATATAATTACTCTCCCATGTTCCGAATCTTATTTACTGGTGATAAGACTTTTTGTAAGTCCGCACGAGTAGGTACCAGCGCCCTGCCTATTTCTGCCTTGAAGCAGTAATGCGTTTCGGTTTGAAGGGTAGGGCAGCCGTTGTAACTGAGACCTTAGAACTCATATATCAAGGTGAGTGGCGGCATTTACGTTGTATATGTCTATGGGCTCCAGTAACCACTTAACACCAAATGGACCTTGAGATCGTCCACCCATAAAAGCATTAAAATAATAATAATATCGGAATGCATGAATGGTTCGCGGCAGAGATAGACACTCACTCATACAAACCCATAATACCGCCCGTAAATTCTCATCTTGCTTATTGCTTAATCGTATTGCATACATGGAAGGTAGATAAAAAACTTCCAACTTAATAACCATTTGAATAGTCGTGGTCTTGTAGATAAATAATTTAATGGGTGTAGCGTGCTCATGTTGACTGATGCGAAGGTGCCACTCTTGACGCAGACACCAATTTTTATAATACATATTATTATGATTAATGCATAACGATAGCAGTTAGAAAGTATTTGATGCGCTTTTTTTAAAATCAGTTTTTTTTTATTGATTAGATGGGTGGACGAACCCACCTGGTGTTAAGTGGTTACTGGAGCCCATAGACATCTACAACGTAAATGCGCCACCCACCTTGAGATATGTTCTAAGATCTCAGTATAGTCACAACGGCTGCCCCGCCCTTCAAACCGAAACGCATTACTGTTTCACGGCAGAAACAGGCAGGGTGGTGGTACCTACCCGCGCGGACTCACAAGAGGTCCTACCACCAGTAAAGTCAGTTTAAGCTATGATAAAATTAATTTGCGTTTTTTCTGCAACCAGTACAACCGCCTCGTGCAGGTCGCACGGCTTCACATTTCGTCATACGTGCCGCTAAACGTGTCCTTTCCCCGGCATTACTAATGAATACTGTTTTTTTTTTTTTAACTATTTAGGACTTATTGCACTATACCGGATTTCGGAATTCCGGGCAGCGCAGAATTACATGTAGGAGCACTGATGTTTTTGAGAGCACGTTTTTATTAAATTGATTTCTAGTCTGTCTGTTTGTTCGGTATGAAGGCAATCGGCTTTTCACTTATTACCCGGTACAGACTTGAAAGTTTAAAGCTCCGAACTTGACGGTGTTTTTAAAGCTCGGAACTTGACAGTGCTACGGTGATTAAACTTTTTTTATTTTTATTGGCTAGATGGGTGGACAAGCTCACAGCGCACCTGGTGTTAAGTGGTTACTGGAGCCCATAGACATCTACGACGTAAATGCCGCCATCCACCTTGATATATGAGTTCTAAGGTCTCAGTTACAACGGCTGCCCCACCCTTCAAACCGAAACGCATTACTGCTTCACGGCAGAAATAGGCAGGGTGGTAGTACCTACCCGCGCGGACTCACAAGAGGTTCTGCCACCATTAATAACTGTCGATGAAGTTGTAATTAATTTCTATGTTAATTGTATTTCGGATTTACAATATACAGAGTACATTGTGATTGTATGGCCGTGGTAGAAGACATGGTGATTTCTAACACGATAACAATAAAAACACTATGTCTTAAAATTTAGGAAGCTATTTAGGACCTAAATAGTTTTTTTTGGCAATCTTCTAATATGCTTCAACGGTCTAGCAGGTACCTTTTCTGAGTAAATCCGCATCTATCGCCACATTGGTCTATGGTGGTTGGTGACAATGACGTGTTTCCGACATACATACTACAGGCGAAACTCTTGGAAGGGGTCACTTAAAATGATTTAGACAAATTTATTTTTTTCATTTAAGATTGATTCTTCATAATATTATCATATTAATTTATAAGTTGCGATTATTCAAAAAATCTCCCAATATTAAAATCTAAGATTACCATCAAATATGATACGAGACCTTCAACCTTCGATTAAGACCATTGCGCGTGAGCAAAATTTAAAAGACAAACGGACAAGTACTAGAAATGTGCTGACGTCATCTATTGGGACACACTAATACGAGATTCCAAAAATTTTTTATGAAAAAAAGTGGCAATCGATAATGTGTACCTATCTTGTACTGAGTTTCTCGCCGCATCTTCTCTCTGGGTCGCGATTCCGATCCGATGGTAGGTTTTGCAAAGCACTCCTTTTGCTCGGGCTAGTGTTAGCAAATTCTCTCAGGTTGAGTCCGTGAGCTCACCTACCCGTCAGGACGTAGCTGAGATAGCCTCTTAGGCTACCAGGGAATAGGTTGGGAAAAAGTACTTATCTAGTGATGTGACTGTGTGCTCATAATACCAATTCATCTAAGGAAGTACGTACCTAACACGTCTTCGTGGATGCTTCCAAAAATAAAAACTTTTTAATCATCACGACTATCGAGGCCCCAAACCAAGCATCAGACAATCTAGAGTCAGTTAATTCATATATTGCGATATAAAAACTTATACTCTTACCATTAATTATTTTTTGTAGGTACTTATAAATCACTTAATAATCAATAACGCTAATTGCATCCGCGCCCTGAAATATTCATACATACGACTACGTGTGATAAATTGAGTGAAAGCAAACGTCATTTTTTAGGCTTGTTTATTTATAATCATTAAATACTTTCACTCGTATACAAAAGGATTGTGGGTGCAGACACCTTTTAAAGCTATATACTGCGATAAGCTGCGTTTACATTGGTTTTTCTAGGAACCGTACAAAAAAAAAACGGTGCACGTGCAACTTGGTGCACGTGAATGAAGTGAAACTTCTTTTTCGATGTGTAGTATTGTGATCCTCAAATCAGATTGTAATAGGGAATGCTATGTATAAGAGATGCGACATCTTCAACATTTATATTATATACTAGCGACCCGCCCTCGCTTCGCTTCGGAAACATTAAAACACAAATGAAACCAAAAAAAAAAAAAAAGTAGCCTATGTTCATCAGGGACAATGTCGGCTTCTAATGGAAAAAGAATTTTTCAAATCGGTCCAGTAGTTTCGCAGCCTATTCGAAACAAACAAACAAACAAATCTTTCCTCTTTATAATATTATTATAGTATAGATTTAAATTATATATAGAAAAATAAATAGATACTTTTTTTAAATATGTACTTCATTCGAATATTGGACGCTACTCGTTGCTAACGCTCGCGCTGGCCTGTGACAGGTATACTACGCGCATGCGTTCGAGTGCCACGCATTCACTCTCGCTCTGTCTCTTTCTAATATGGTAGCGTTAAACGTTTAACGCAACCTTATCGGAAGTTGCATTAGAAGTTTCACTTCAATTACCTTTTTCCTAAATTGAAACATTTGAGACTACAGCTTCGCGCTTATAAAGTCTTCGGCAACCACTTGTCTTCTTCTCCACTTCTAATAGTGGAAAAGCTGTTTTAGGCTAATCATAACTCGTTGTATCAACTCTGACTCGACTCTAGCCCGACTCGGTGGTACAATAGTTAGCGCCCCTGACTGTTGCGCTAAGGGTCGTGGGTTCGATTCCCACATCGGACAAACATTGTGTGATGAACAGGTTTATTTGTTCTTTGTTTGGCTGTGTATTATCAAAATATGTATATATTTAAACGTATATAATTATTTATGAGAATCTCTGGTACCCATACCACAGGAAAATCTAATTTGGGGCCGGATGACCGTGCGTCGTTTGTTCCTAGTTATTATTTTAATAATTTTTTATTTATCGCAACGCTATTTCGACTTTAATCTTATGCGTCGGACAACACGTTCTGGTCTCTATCGCCTCCCATACTATTTCTATAGACAACGTTTATTTCGGTCATTTGGATATCAATCCTTGACTGGCCGTTATATGATAGTCATGTCTGCTCTAATTAATGGAACACCCATACTCCGACAAATCCCATACCTGAACCGCGCATATTTCAAACCTGTCTGTCTTCGAATGCATACAAAGACAGTGAATCCAGTTTTAATAACACTGCAGCCAAATTCTTAAATATACTTAGTCCGACAAAAAACGTTTGATGATGCATGAAATCAACAACAATAGAGATGATATCAGATTTCTTATAATAGCTTTCTTTAAATTCATAATGCAACGTACAAGAGAGAACGATGTGATTATTAATTTAAAATAAATTGGACGATCGTAAATGGCAGTAAAAAATTTGCACATCCGTGTTATTGTAATTATTTCTAAGGATAGAACCGATATCATTAAAATCGTCTAATCAGAATGTAATTTTGTTTGTGACTCGCAAAGTCTTACGTTCAATAAAAATACTCCATAGTTTGGTGGTAGGACCTCTTGTAAGTCCGCGCGGGTGGGTACCACTACCCTGCCTATTTCTGCCGTGAAGCAGCAATGCGTTTCGGTTTGAAAGGTGAGGCAGCCGTTGTAACTATACTTGAGACCTTAGAACTTATATCTCAAGGTGGGTGGCACATTTACGTTGTGGATGTCTATGGGCTCCAGTAACCACAACACCAGGTGGGCCGTGAGCTCGTCCACCCATCTAAGCAATAAAAAAATAATAAAAAAATACTACTGATATAGAAGAAGTCGACAGTGTCAAAGGGAAATTCTACTGTCTGCCGTCATATCAAATTTGAATATCAAAACCAATGCAAAGCTTATTTTTATTTTTTATCATTAAATTTTATGAAAGACATTACAAAATGATAATATATGAATATAAAATGCATCATTGCATTAAAAATAATGTAATCTACACGTTTACCGTGCTTCTTATTTACCTTCATTCCTTCTTTACATTACATTTTACTTTAATTATATTTAGTGATACTTATACCTTACGTTCGCTTTTCTCAGATCCAGTTCTTCATGGTGTTGTTCCATTCGATCAGCGCTTTAGTCTGCGACTGCGGGTATCCGAAGTGAGTATTGGTTATCACTACATAGTACAAAACAAAGTCGCTTTCTCTGTCCCTATATCCCTATGTATGCTTAAATCTTTAAAACTACGCAACGGATTTTGATGCGTTTTTTTTAAATAGATAGAGTGATTGAAGAGGAAGGTTTATATGTATAATAACATCCATCAAATTACTGTTATTTTTTAGGTTTCTAATGTGATGTCGTAAATAATCAATAATAAAAGTTCATGTTTCCGAAGCGAAGCTAGGGCGGGTCGCTAGTTAATTAATAAAAATCATATGATGTATTCCTATATGATCTTGCCTATTTAATTATGATTTGAAGTTACAGGACTGAAAAGTAAAACACAGATAATTCAGAAATTTAGTACTCACTATATTAATATTGATAAAAAACAGTTGGTCTTTTGATAAATTAATTTAGAAAACAGACAGATGATTAAAGGTGAATAATATCATGTCATTTTCGTTCATAAATAGTTAAGAACATGGCCTAACAATAATTTCACTTAAGCCACATTACAGACACGCCTGTTCTAACTAATAACGTATAAAATCTACAGAGGAAGACTATGATTAGCAGGGCACTTCTTGAGATTAATTCAATAATGAAAAAAAGGTGGAATCAAATTAAGAACCGGAATTAGTTTAATATTGAAATTCAGATTGATTTCAATTTAATGAAACAATTCAAACACTGTCGCGACCTTAACAAATATCTAATCAACTGGTTCGCAAGTCTGTTTATCGTAAAAATCACATGGTTATTAGTAAGTATAATACTTCTGCATGCGTTTTGATACTACAATGTTTTTCCTACCTATTCGCCGGTAACCTAAGACTATTCCAGTTACGCCCGGACGCGTAGATGAGCTCATGGGCTCAACTTGCTAACTAACAGTAGCCCTAGCAAGAGCAGTGCTTAACAGAATCTACCACCGGATCAGAATCGCGATCCACTAAGAAACGTTTTTTTTTTTTCTAAGTAAAAACCTATTGCTCTTTTTATAACGTTTGGTGACTTGTTACATGAACTGTTTAGTACATATAAATGACCTATACTCCATTTAGATTACTGATAGTAGATATAGAAGTACGATAAACTATTCGGAATGTCAGATAGGGTCTGCAATGACAATGCTCTGTTATGATTGTGTACATCGCTGCGCCTCAATAAAATTCACCGTTGTCTTCCAATCACTTGAACTAACAAGTCGTACTATCTTGATCGTGCGGTCACTTGTCAGCATGTAGAAACTTAACTCTTGACAAAGATACTTTCAATTTTGTCCATACGAAATAGAAAGCCACACCATGCTTACGAGTCGACAATGGAGTCATTATGATTCGATACTTGCTTTATAATATTCAATTTAATTTGATTAGGCTACAAATCGTTCGATAGAAACAATTTAACATCTTAACCGTCGCGAATCTTAGGTTCATCTAACACAATATCCCTGAAATAGCAAAAATAAAACTGCTCCAAGCAAAATAAGTTTAAAGTTATGTAAGTTACATGAAATCCAAAACCAAAAAAATTAAGAGCGTGTCCAAACTTTCGCAAACCAAACTCTTTAAATATACATCTATACGTCTATCTCTTTTTAGTGTCGATTTTTCTTTTCATCTAGTTTCAAATTACAACGACTTTAACTTCAACACGTGTATAGTATAGACGCGGTAAGAGCAAAACCCTTAAAAACTATTCTATCTCTTTCTCTCACCTCATAAATCCCAACAGCATCAGCTAAGAACTGAATCCTCTATGAATAAGCAACGTCATTTGCATCCTAATCAAAATATTTACGTTTATCTTATTAATTTCCAGGATCATCGCCTCCGGACTGATTCTTCACTCCACAATCTTCATAGTCCTATTTACCAACTTCTACCTCCAAGCCTACAAAAAGAAACCCAGAAGCAAAGTTGAAACGAACAACAATAATAATGACAGCAAACTCACTGATGAGAACACGAAGCTAAAGAACGGACGCGTTAATGGCGCAACGAACAATGGTCACCTTCAAAACGGGTTCGCTAATGGCGAAGTAGCAAACGGTAAGATCAGAAACGGCGAAGTTGGTAACGGCAGGATCGAAAACGGCGAAGTCAATGGGCACGTTAAGAACGGATACGTCAACGGTAGGTTACCGAACGGCTCAACTGATAAAGACAAAGTGCAATAGTCTGTACTAACATAATTTAGTTTTTTAATTTGTAAATAGAGAAATATATAAGTGCACTAGGCAATTTTTGTATTGTTCAATTATAATTAGGAAACGTAAATTGAAAGTTACCAATTTAGAATCTAACGAGAGATTAAAAGTAAATAATAATAAATTAATTAATACAATTATTGTCTACTGCTTTTTGTACAGTTTGTGTGTAATTTAGTTAAAAGTTCCACTGCGAGCTTCCGTGTAGCTTAAGTTGTGATATAGTACTTGAACGTCTCAGGGTAAAATCTATTAGTTTCGAAGTTTTAAGCCTTCGTCAAACCGACGCATACTTACACCGCGTACTTAACGTCGCGCTCTTTTCATGTCACACAAATTGACTAGATGAGTCCAACGCTCCTTGACGAAACGCATTCTCCAAATCATAGTGCCTTTCGATAGCAGTGTGAAAATTTAAAAGTATTAAGATATCGAGTGATGCAGATGTGGCATTGTATAAGCATGGGTATTTTCTAACTATTTATATCATTTTTTCGGGCATTATCTAGTATTTTAAAACACATTCACGCGGACGCTAAAATAAAATTTGTAAAAAATTATAACGCCTGACGTCAAAGCGTCCTAACGCCGCGACAGAGCTCTGCGTAATTATAGCGCTGGGGCTCTGTTTGACGGCATGTTACCATAGTAGTACAACACATCGCGGCGTCATAGCGCGGCGTCAGTTTAGCGCTCTGACGCGCGCTAATTACGCGTTCTGTTTGACGAAGGCTTCAATATCAATCAAAAACCCGCACGCGTTGCAACAAGAGAACCGTTTTGATCATCAAGGACACACACATGGTCTGTAAATGAAAAATTGCAACTCCCAGCTTAATTCATTTTGTCCACCAATACTCTTTCATGCCGATTTGCTTTCTCTGAAAGTAAAAGTGATCCGTCATCTCCTTAGGGATCTAATACCGTAAGCTGGTCATTCACGAAACAGCTGCTCTTGAGTTGTTAGGTCTCCTTCAGAGGCGCTCGGGCAGCTGTTAGCAAACCCCACCCCTCCTGTCTGAGCCATTGCTCGCCCACCTGTCCTGGTGAAACTGGAAAGGCCTTCGGGCCACCAGTAATCCTTCAAACCAAAAAACCGTTTGTTGGGTTATAAGTTTGAATTCTCGTCCAACCACCAAAACTGTTTTCCCAAACATTTCGATAAATGACAAGTCTTTGAAAGATCAACTCAGCGGTCCAAAGATACAGAAACTGAACAGATAACAGATTACCCTTTAGTCTCTTCGTTACAACTACCTCGTACAGTTTACTTTTTTTTAATCCCTTCTTTTTAATCTGTAATTACGGTGACGAATAAGGTAGCCATAAATACTGCACAGATAAATATTGAAGTTTATTGTAAATTATAGTTTCTGAAATTCGTTTAAGTCGCGTGGCCTAAAGGATAAGACGGCGTATTCGCATCGAGCGATGCGCATGTGCCAGTGTTCAAATCCCGCGGGCAGGTACCAAATTTTCTTTTGCAATACGTACAGAGCTCATATTCACGAATGTCTTCCACAATTAAAGAGTAGCATCGTGCGACAAAAATCAAACCCGCTAAAATTTTAATTTACCTAATCAGTTTTGGAAGGTCGTTTAACCGTCGCTACAAAAAATATACAAATTTAAATTACTAATGTTCCGGACATTGTCATAATATCTTCAATATTATTTATTATTAATTCAGCATTGATATATTTCTGAGGTATTCAATTATTGAAGTATTCTGGGATTTTTTAAAGACATCTGTATTTTTTTAAAGAGTTTCCAATGTAAATGAATCGTGGCAATATTTCTAATAATTTACACTTTTTATTCATTTATCGTATATACATTTTAAAAGCTCATAAATATCGGCTGCCTTAAAGTTAGCGCAACTCTAGTTTTTAATATACTGTGAGATTTTCGTTTAGAATTTTATCACAATCTCCGTCCGTGCTAAGCTTTACTTAGATTTAAGTCGTATTAATGTTTTTAAATTATTATTTTTCTTTTAAATAAGTTGTATGTTTACACCGTCATTCTATTTCTAGTGACAGTATGACAACGGATTTTGATTTAAATTTATCATTTGCAACGACCAAAACTGAGATTAGTGTTTTCAAAGTGAACACTGAAATTTTCCAATAAAACTTCATGTATATAGGTATATACAACATATTGTATTTACTAATGCATCTATGTGTTTTTAAAGCACTAATGTGTGTATAAATCGACGGCCCCTATGTACAAAGCGTCATGTCAAAAATTATGGTTTACAGCGAGCGTTTTTAAATTTCAATCTCATGTGTAATTAAATCATAAAAGTAACTCTTCTATCTTCTAGTATTGACTTCAAGTATTCAATTTAGGCCGGTTCTAATGGTATAATAATTATTTATAATATCCTCGATTTTCCCGGAAAAGTAGTTAGATGACTGTGTCTACCACAACTATGAAATAATAATAATAATAATAATATAATAATTATTTTTGAGACCGTATAAAGATGACTGTATCTACATCAACAAAGACTTTTTATAAGTTGACGTCTTATAAGTTTATTTATCTTTTGAAATATTACTTATAAAATAAAAAAATATATAGGTATATGGTAATATGCGTATTGACAAATAGAAAATGACTGTGTATGTAATAAAAAAACGTTTTGGACATGACTCTTTATATGTAGGGACCGTCGAAATATATTTCCTAGCTCCCAGTGGAACCAGGGTTTTGTACGCCTTCTTAAATTAGTATTAATGTAATTAACATAAATGCAATTGTATGCATTCCAGTCACTTCTAAAGGTATATTTTGTATAAATAGGTGTTGTATACAATAGACTTACGTTTTAATAGAGTTTAAGTAATGTGCTACTCTGATTAATTTAGATGTATCTTTTTATAAAGTAATTTTATATATTGATTATTCAATTTTCTATTGGAATTATATTTTATGAAATTAATAAAAGGGATACCTAGATTTGGTTTATTTTATTTTAACGCCATCTATCGGATATTATAGTAACTATTACCGCATTCATCATACTGCTTTTGTACGAGCAGTGAAAGTATAAGCTAAGTAGTATATTAGTCCAAAGAATTTTAATAGTAGATGGCCTCGGCATACAGTTTTGATGTTTTAACTAGTTTTGAACAGTTCAGTCGCCCCTTTTTTTTAAATCGGTTGTTATGTTCAATAGCTTTAGATATTACCACGTTTCTAATTCAAGGCACATAATGACCTCAGAACTTCAATAAAGCCAATAGAAACTGCATAGGAAACGGTACCGCAAACTTTAGGGTATAAGGTCGAATTTTATTTAGACGAATAAGGCTGTTGCACCTTAACGGAGCCTCGTCAGTTTTGCGGCAGAAATAAACCCGCCCCAGTATCACGGCATCATTACATGATTGAACCCGGCGTCTTCCTTATTGCGATCCAATTTTATCTACACCTAAATACAATCGAAAATAAATCTTATCTCGTACGTAACGTTCTGATAGGTAACCTTTGAATGTATATTGTAATGTACAACTAGAACACATATCAACATTGAACCCCTACTATTTATAGACCAGTCTGAATTGTGCAGAAATAGTCCTTGTATGGTTGAAATTTGTCTTTTTTTAGGGGCTATTCCAGCTACGCGCGGACAGGTAGATACGCTCACGGGCTCAACCTGAAAGAATTTACTAACACTAGCCTTAGCAGGAGCAGTGCTTCGGATAATCTATCACCAGATCGTCACGTCATTTCGGATCCTCCCGATCCACTAACGGTGCTTTTAGGTACCTCAAGCACCGGTCATCGATCTCGTCGAACCCGTCGCTTGCGACGAAGGGCTCGGCGAGTAAATTAACCCACAGACACAGCCCACTGAGTTTCTCGCCGGATCTTCTCAGTGGGTCGCGTTTCCGATCCGGTGGTAGATTCTGCAAAGCACGGGTATTGCTAGGGTTCGTCAATCATGATCTTCGTTCGTGTTAGCAACAATGTCAGGTTTGAGCCCCGTGAGCTCACCTACTCGCCCGGTTACGCTGAAATGATCTCTCAAGAGCACCAGCATAGGTAGGAACAAAAAACCGGATCGGAATCGTGACCCGCTGAGAAGATCCGGCGAGACACTCAGTGGGCTGTGTCTATGAGCTAGTTCGCTCGTCGATTACGACGAAGAACTCGACGAGGACGGTGACCGGTGCTTGAGGGTCCTAAAAGCACCGAGGGTGAATCCGGGGGTTCCGGCAAGACATGATTCGGGAGACGGCGGCTTTGCAATGCCCCGACGCGCGCATCGCCTGAAGCGGATATTTATTGTGTGACTCACTTTTATAACATGAATCACTTTTAAATATTCTACTAATAATCATATAAGGGGATCTACTGTAAAATATATATAAAAAAATATATTTATACAGCGACTTTGTATTCAATTCTTAATACGCTTTTATTAGGTCGGTACGTTTGTTTAATTAACAGAATCTTTGAACGTTATTTTCGGCGGGCTCTTGTTTGTTCCTATCTAAGCTGAGAGCCTTAAGAGGCTATTTCAGCGTAACCTTAACTAGTAGGTGAGCTCACGGGGCTCAAACCTGACGACGTTGCTAACACGAGCAAGAGCCGTGCTTCGCAAAATCTACCAGTTGATCGGAAACGCGACCCACTGAGAAGATCCGGCGAGAAACTCAGTGAGCTGTGTCTGAGGGTAGCGGGCTCAAGGCGTCCTATTAACTTCAAAATATGAACACGCATTAAGATCCGATGACGATACAATAATTTTTGAAAGGACAAAACAAAAGGAAATTAAAATTTTTGGTCTGGTTTGCTATATTTAAAGTAGTTTTTTGGTAGCTTCTGATTTGTGTATACACAAATAGACAAAATAAGAATGTTTTTGAAAGTGATATTGTTTTTATTCGTTTCGTTTAGATTAAATCGATTATCATTTGTCGAAACAAGTCTATGATCTTATTCCTTAAGGACTAAAGCTCATACAATATTCAGAAACGGTGATTCCCCTAAATCTATTTTCAAAAGAGCCCTAAAAATATCTACTTTTTTTCTTAGAAAAATTAAAATAAATCATAAAAACCGAGCGTCTTAACAGATCATTAAAGCCATTATACGAAATCAAGACTCCGGAGTTCAATAAAAATTACAGGCCCGTTCCCAGATCATTTGATGGCCAATAGTACGCACTAATTGAAACGAAAATCGAACCTTTAAAATTTAACGGTGCGCCGATAACTTCCCGGACCCGGCGGCGTAATCCTTAATTATAGCCCTGCAAAATGTCAATAAAGCCGAACGCTATTTTTTTTTCCTCCCCTTTCCTAATTTGTAGACCCTAAAATCGCGAACGTAAATCACCAGTTCAGACGGACCGCTCGTTTTGTAGGAGCCGTCAAGTGGATCCGAAATTATAAAGGATCATAGTAAAATGGTTGACGTAACGCGGCAATGCGAAGGGTAGACGCGGGACGAGCACACACCGCTCTGCAGTCTGTTGCCCGCCTTTTGAATACGACGGGGTGGCAAAGATGGCGCTACCATCGCACTTGTTTTTGTCGATCGTTTCACGCAGATGTTCCCAAGAATCAACAACTCAAAATACACTTAATTAAAAATATTCTCATAACTTATTTACAATAATACAAAATACTCATGAACCATTACAAATAATATGTTGCTGTTCCTTCAAACAGTATTAGAACATTCTTTTTTTATAGAAATATCGTAGAAGCTAATACGTTTAACCACATCTGATTTAGAATTACAATACTAAGGCCTGTTAACAATCTAGAAACACGTTCTCGTAAAAACACAACATCAAACAAAAACGTATTTACCGTGAAACGGAACGTGGCTTCGCCGGCCGGGGTGTCCATCCCGGGTTTAGGCACATCAGTTTAGTTAAGTACGCGCTTTGAACGCAGCGACATCGTCCGGCGCGCGTTCCCACACAACATAAAACAAAATAAAACACAAAACCCCACAATAACTCCTAGGACATAACCTTTTACTGTGCAAAAGTGTACGCGACCCGTGCCCCATGTTACGAATATGTGATTTAACAACGCAGTGTAGTAATGAGAATGGTGCTTTGCGTTCAATGTTCTGACGTGAATAATGATATGAAACAACATTTTGTAGCCTGATAAATTGGTTGTAACCGTGCTTTTTATCTCGGTAATGTGTTGTCAACATTAGGTTTGTGTCGTTCAGTGTTCTATTATTTTCTTCGTCTTTTTTTTTCTTTCATTCGTAGCTCTGTTTTCTGAACGGCGAAAAGGGGTGAGAAAGCTACGGAATATGCTAATAAGCTGGTTTCTTTTAACACGGCACACAAAAAGCTCGGCACGGAGACTGCAGTGCGATTTGTATTGCAAATTTCGCACGAACTGTCTCTGTTTCGTTTTTATTTAATTTAGAGGCTGCAATCATTAAAAAAACCGCACTAACCGAAATTTTAGAATTTATGTTTATTGAAACAATTAAATCGATATTATTATTGTATCCAATGTCTATAAAGGCGATACAAATTTCATAGTTTCATAGTACAATCGCAATTATTTCAAGTCCATCACGATATGCCGTTTTCGATAAACCCGTCTTTTGCACTTCAGAATTGAGCGAGCCCTCGTTCCTTTGTGCGAAGTCTGTTTGCTCTAATTTCCTGCTTTCCCAGTTATTAATCTGTCTGGCTCAGACCTAGACTTAAATCGAATTGACGCCTAGACTGCTTTGTTGCCTATTGGCTAATTCGCGATCTCATTATTTCGAAAGCATTAACCAATAGCTATTCGAATTTATTTTCTGTTATTCTTAATATAATTTGTTCTCAATCATTCTGATTGTCTTTCAAGAATTCGAGACCAGTAAGGATGCTCTTTGAATGATTATTTTTAAAATACACGCCGATGCGTATCGTTAGCAGTACAATGAAATATGTAATTACTAAAAGACATTTGAGTCGACTATTATCAAAGCCGGCAATGTGACTTTTGGACAATTATTGGTAAATCAGAAAAACGAATTATTGACTTTGTATTCCATTGGCAGTCACAAAACTCTTCTGAACGACATCTTAGATAAATAACAGGTTAAGTATTAACCTTTATTTAATGCAGGTTTTGAACCGTATTCTTTGAAGGAGACGATTATATTCANTATTCCATTGGCAGTCACAAAACTCTTCTGAACGACATCTTAGATAAATAACAGGTTAAGTATTAACCTTTATTTAATGCAGGTTTTGAACCGTATTCTTTGAAGGAGACGATTATATTCAAATCAATCTGTATTGACATATCAATAACATTTTTTTGTCCAAATGCACAGATTGCCACCTTTGATAATAGACGACTCATTTTTCATCAAAGGCCAATACAAAAAAAAAAAAAAAACAATTTTATGAACCTCGTTTAAATTTACGAATAAGAACGTCGGACTCCTAATTTCGATTTCGTCATTTTCATTACACGTCTCAAACAGCTCGACAATGAACATGTACTAATAAAAAGAATCTATTAAAAGAAAAAGGCAATACGTCTGCCGGTTCAGACGCCAAAGAGAACAAAAACCATTCCATGTGAACCAAACAAAAATAAGAACAAGAAAACTTTACAGTCTTATTCCTTGGCTCCGGAAATTATCAGCGTTTGGACCGGTTCAACATTACGTAGGTACAAGCGATAAATCCAGTTCCATTGGTACATTTCATTTGGCTCTTGTGAAATGTAGATTATCTTTTATCGAGATGAGTTATCGACGGGGCCGGAGAAAGCCGAATTTTATTGCTGCATCGAAAGATATCATCAGATGTATTAATTACAACTTATTTTACTGGTGGTTTGAGGTATTGTGAGGCCGGCGTATTAGAAAAATCTAGCCTATTTCTACCGCGAAGGACGGTCGCGATGTAATTACCACTCTTCTAGGAGCTCACGGTCCACCCGATATTAAGTGTTTATTAGAACTCTTAGATATTATACAGCATTATTCTCACAACGTTAATGCCAACACCAACCTTGGGAAATGAGGTATAAATCTCAAATATATAGTATAATTTCTATCCCACTCTTCAAACCGGAATGCATTACTGCTTCACAGCAGACGACGGGAGCGTGATATGTGATAGATATCAGAGACGTTACATTCAATATAGAAGGTATTTCTGGCATTAAGAAAATTTATTAAAACATTAGCTTAGTTCTTACTGTAAATTTTATTTAATTTTGAACTTTGATAACAGGATGATGTCCGATTAGTTGATTCATTGTAAATTTTCAATATTAATGGCCCCAGAATAAAACAAGCCACCAAAGTTATCCGATCATTCAATCAGTCTCGCGAGACAAAAAAGGATTGACATCTCGAAAATAACAAAGTTACATAATAGAATCCTGAACCGCACACATCCACGCAACCCCGGCCAGCTTCCAGTGTAATTCAATTTTCTGACTAACAAACCCTATTTAGCCCTAACAGGTATTCGCTCATGCGAAAAAGTGGGTCCACGGCTGGTTGACACTTCGTTCGTGATTGACAAGTCGACTGGGACTGTTTATAGTTAACATGCCTTAGCTCTTACCCGCTGGTAATACAGGCTGTTATAGAAGAAATAGGGCACGTGGCATGTGCCCCGAGAAACAAGCCAGCAAAAAGCAAAATTGACGAACCATTGGCATTTGTAACACAAATGCTCGTAATGTTTGGCTTGCGGTTTCGATAATAAATCGACGAACGATGAAAAACTGACAACGTTTTGATCCAATCGAAACTTATGATTAACTTTATCATGAATTTATTTGAAAACAATAAATCAGTATGAAATATAAATCTATTGTTTTAGATAACTCGCTATTTCACGATAAAACAATAAATCAAAACGAAAATAGAAAAACTCGAATGTAAAAGCCGTAACCGTAAAGATTTATTGGGATATATCCATTTTATCGGCCAATCATCTCCGTTCGGGCCCCACGCCACGATCCCACGATAATTATAAAAATATATCGGTAACATGAAATTTATACTAACATTACCCCACGAGAAAAACATAAAAAAAGACCTAATAAATATCGGTTACTTACTAAGGGTAATAAAAGGGGACAGTGGCCATTTAGAAGAGATCCCAACTGAACAAATAGGTAAATACAAACAAACAAAACTAAATATATTGAAACGTATCGCGGTGATCCCAACAATAGATTTGACAATTGTAATAGAGTTTCTGTATTCTTATTATAGTGGAGAAATTGCTCTGTATATTCTGTTCAGAGAAATATCACTTTATGTTGAGCACGTATGTATGTATATCAAAAGTTTTCAAATACAAAAACTATAATGAGTAAATTATTAAAATGCTTTCAACCAAATCTTTTGTTACTTATAGGTACATGAACAGTTTGAAATAAATAAGTAATATCATCTTTATTATATATTTGTATTGTTTTGAACACACTCACTATTATTAACCAACATGGTTTTATTGGTAAATAACACACAATTTGTTTTCATTCGAATTTCGTTCAAGCTACTATATCTGGATGATAGCGTGATTTCATCAAACTGTCGCATTATGCCTTGCGTTTCTTTATCATGCTTCCACCCCACAAACTTTCGCTCCAATGCCTTGACTGACACCGACATTCGCTTCCACTAGCTATTAGCCTGACAGCTGTCATGTCACATGACCCCATGCATATACACAGCAACAAATGTGTCCGTGTAAATTCCACGGAAAAATATTGACTGTTTATTTCATAGAAGGTATTTTTCAATATTTCATTTTGTTGAACTTCGAAGTTATGCGACTTATACCGATCGTTTATAAAAGTGATAAAAAATACATCGATCTTGTCCGGAACTAAGATATAAAGAAAAACAAAATCAAAACCATTCAGTTGCTAGGCAAAGAGCATTTAATTTTCATCTGTTTAGATAATCTATCTATCACCATAAAAGTGATATAGCACTTAAAACATAAATAAAAGTATAAAAACTAACGTATATTATGGCATCAAACAGACATCACCTGCCTTTGAGCCCAATAAATTTTCCTAAAAACTAATATTATTACTTAAAAGCAAAGGTGCAACCAATGCGTTGAATTAATAATGACCAGTTCTATTTCTGTTCTACCATCACACCGTACAAGAATTTTAGTTCGAATTTGAATAACATTTATAAGTTTCGTTGTGAAATGTATACTTTTTACTTTGGAAAGTTATTAACGCGAATGGTTATTGAAGCTTCAATATATATGGTCCACTCATATTCAGCGATGTGACCAAATCCTTTAAGGAAGGTATCATTTTTTGTAGGGAAATACGTAATGTCGTGTAGAAAAATCAAATCCAAATTTACTTAAAAAAATTACACACAAGAAAAATCAAATCCTTATTTACTTAAAAAAATTACATACAATTATTAGACGCCCATAGTTTTAACGATAGGAAGAGACGTAGGGATCCTGGAAACTATACTCTTCGGATTCGTCAAAGATTCGACGTGAAACCTGACCCACATACATCACACTCTGAGTTTCTTTCCGGATCTTCTCAGAGGGTCGCGATTCCGATCTGCTAGTAGATGCATTCATGAAAAAGTTGCCCTTGAGCTGTTAGTTCTTCTTCGGAATAATAGCTCGGGCAGCTGTCAGCAAATTTCACATCTCCCAGCTGAGATAGTTTCACCAGGATCCTAATGAAACTGGAAATACCTACGCCGTGAATTCGTTCTACGCAGCTAGTTCCAAGAATAGTATGGTCGATGATTAATGAATCTACCAGCATCTGCTTATCCGAATGATACAGTAAGTTTAGTAACCAGTAGTTTTCTACTGGTGGTAGGACCTCTTGTAAGTCCGCACGGGTAGGTACCACCGCCCTGCCTATTTTTGCCGTGAAGCAGTAATGCGTTTCGGTTTGAAGGGTGGGGCAGCCGTTGTAACTATACTTGAGACCTTAGAATTTATATCTCAAGGTGGGTGGCGCATTTACGTCGTAGATGTCTGTGGGTTCCAGTAACCACTTAACACCAGGTGTCCGTGAGCTCGTCCGCCCATCTAGCAATAAAAAAAATGGAACTTTTTAAGGTTAAAAGGTATACGGGCTTTATTTCCAATGCAGTTTTGAAATCGGGTTTTAAGTGTTTTGTAATAGCCTGCTATTATCAAAATTGAAACTAAGCATAACTACCATTGA